GAGCCTTGCATATTTATAACCAACCACTTGGGGGCAGCACACTTTTCTGACCACAGCTACACTCAGCTGCTGTTTGTCTCTGGGTTGCCATAGCGACACGTTTGTTCGCAGACTTCTCAGCCATGAGGCTTTGAGATACAGAGGGCAGTATTGAGCTGGAGGACGGCAGCTGCATCTCAATCAGCAGATGAACAGGGCGACCTACAACCCCCCTCCCCCCATCTCCACACACACACACACACACACACACACACACACACACACACACACACACACACACACACACACACATGCACACACACACATACTACTGTGGACGTTTCCTAAAATGAAAGGCAGTCCTGTTTAAGCTGTTGGCTCGTTTTACATTCAAAACAACAACCTCCCTTTTCCACCCAAACACACCGCAGCTGCCGACTGGTTACCCAGCAGCCCTCTGCTTTGAAAGGTTATCACCGGCAGGTTGATTTCTGCGGTCATGATTGACAATCAGTAACGATGAGTCGTCGTGCGGACCAGCTGTTGTTCTACTACAGACTGCAGCTGCTTGGCACAGTCGTCTGCAGATGTTTCAGGCGGCAGCTCCCATGCGTTTGTGCTCTCTTCCTATCTGGCCTGCATTTCTTTTGTATCCTCTCCAAATGTCACTTTTTTCCCATCATGCTAAGAGCTGTTATGAAACCCCATCCAATTAAAATCCCATCACCAAGATATAGACGTGCGCTTTGCGTGCGTACGATAATGTGTGGATATCTTCAGTGGTTTGATTGCAACCCCCACCCCACCCCTTCAACCTCACTCCTAAAATGAAACAGGGATGCATAACTAGATTTAAGGTTATGTAATGCTGACTGGAGGCAGAGAAGTTGTGTATAATCCACTCCTATTTGGGTTAAATCCATCTCCCTCTCTGCATGTCTGTTTGTAAGAAGACAGGGAGCTCACGTCCTCACACATCTCTCCTCTGCATCACCAGGCTTGAAAAGCACCAACTCCTGCTGCACGTACATCTTAGTGCCAAGAGGATCATCTAACAATGTACCAATGTCTCTGGTTGTCTCCGATTTTCCCTGACGGGCGGGATTTTAGTGTGAGATTGAAGAATATCCACTCCAAGCCGTGAAAGGAGCCATCTTGTTGTTTGAGAACCAATCAATCGGTGAAAAAAATCCACATTTTTTCTTCTAACGTAGAGAAATGATTTGCATTTCATTTTCTAAATACTTTATTTTAAATTAAATGATCCTGTTGTTTTAGTATTGAACACCAAGACCCAATAAATTCAAGTTTGCAGCTCATGCGTTCATCCTAATAGGCATTAATATTCTCTTTGATGATATTAACCATATTTTTCACAATAAATGTATCTCTTGTTGTTATTACTGTGACAGTAATGTCAATAGTACAGACTAGGGATGCTAAAAATGCTCTTGCGTGATGCAACTCGATTGGTGGAGCAGCTACGTGATCTGTTGTGTCTTTGTTCCAATAAAATATAATCTGTTTATTTATTAAAGGAAGAGCCTGCAAGGCTGTTTGTGCTATGAAGGCATTTACTATAAAAATAGCAGAAACGCTTTAAAATGATCCAGTTATGTTCTTTTATGGGCGGCTGTGGCTGAGTGGTTAGAGCAGTTGTCCTCCAATGTAAGAGTTGGGGGTTCGATTCCACCAGCAGTCACATTGCTGAAGTGTCCCTGGGCAAGACACTGCATTGCCTCCAATGTGTGTCCCAGCGGTGTATGACTGTGATCTAAAGCACTGATCAGTCTTTGTACAGGTCTAGTAGAGTCTGTATGAATGGGTAAATGAGGCACAGATTGTGTTGTAAAGAGCTGTGAGTGTCTTGATGAGATAGAAAGGAGCTGTATAAGTACAGAACATTTCATGAGGAGCTGATCTCCAGCTTTTACGTTACAGGCTGGGGCCCTTCTAGCACAATACCATAACATCTCTGCAAGAAAATACTGTAATAGGAAGTTGATGGCACGGTAAGATTTATTTAAAAAGTGCACGGACTTTTATAAAACTTTTAAGATTGGAATCATTTTATGCAAACAGCAGTACACTTGGTCCTGACATCGCTCCACCTGGCTGCTAACTCATCAGTGTGGCCAGTATTAGATGTTGTACGGGCAGGGCAGTAGACTCGGGACCGAAGGTCTTGTGTTCGATCCCCGGTCATTACACATCTCGTGGTGTCTCTGAGCAGGACACCTTATCCCCAGTTACTCCCCGGGTGCTTTCCATAGCTGCCCACTGCTCCACCTGGTGGTGGATGGGTTAAAAGCAGAGAGTCAATTTCACCATTGTATGGGAACATGCAGTGATTAACACATTATTATTATAATTATTATAGAATTAAACTATGTTTCTCCAAACTGAGGTTGTTCAAACATCTATCGACATCAGGTAAGATGCTAACAGTGCATAATCTTTCCACATAACCCCATTTCAAAAGACTGATCTGTCCTTTTAAGTTAAATTAGTTTTATAAAGTGCTTGTCCGTAAATAAATCTTAATGCTGTAGTAAACTGAGAAATAAAGTAGCTCATTTTTAAGCTTTCTGTATTTCACTGCTGCAAACGTGAGCCAACATTAAGCTTTCGTTTTTTTTAAAACATCTTTAATATTTCTTGTGTGTAACTGTACTGGTGATTAAGAACACAGAACATGATCAGTCAACACAAGTACACACAGACACACAGGCAGGACCCAGTGGGGTGAGTGTAATCTTGGATCCACACAGCTTTAATCCACATCAATACTGAATATTTGATGCCTTTCCCATTGATAGAGCGTGACACCTGGACAGACCACCACCCTGCTAGCTGTGCGTCCCCGTGGGAGAGGCTCATTCCTGACAAGAGTCTTTATCTCTGGGAAAGCATCTGAGCCAGCAAAACTGACAAGCCCATGAGCGCAAACACTAACATATGCAGAACATGTTTTATTTTTAGCTAGGTGTGGTCTGCATGAGTCCCAATGGAGCAGCAGAGGATGCACCAATATGAAAAATAAATGTTTGCCTGTGTCCAATATGAACGTGTGGCTTAGTGTGTTTGTGTGTGAGAGAGAATAGTGCAGCTGTATCTGGTTTTCCTTTTACAATCTGACTTCTGCTTGCCTAGCAGGGTCCATAATCATGGTTGTCAGCACTGGCTGGTTGCTAGGTAACAGTTACCTGACTGTGCTTTGCTTGCACAGAGTTACACTGTGTGTGTGTGCGCGCGTGTGTGTGTGTGTGTGTGTGTGTGTGTGTGTGTGGCTGTGGGTGTAGGAATAGGAAAATGCAACAATGTACAACACCAAGCAGTCCTTCCACGTCCGGACAGACAGTATTAGCATCTAGAAACAGATTCAGATGTTTGGAAACAAATCCTTGAGGCTGAACCGCAGCTTCAGCGTTATTATTTACACTGTGTTACAGTACAAATAAATACAGTAGTCCCTCGCTACGTCGCAGATCGTTAATCGCGAACTCGCTTTACCGTGGTTTTTCAAAATAGGATTGGACATGACACACAAGTGGCAGATTGATGGGTGAGCCGCACGATCAGCATGGAATTTTTATTTGAAATAAATTATTTTAAATTATTTAGCACCTCCTGCACCTCTGTGCAGCCCACACTGCAGGATAAGCTTCCTGCTGCAGCTGATCAACTGTTCTCGTGCAGAGCGGAGAAGTGGGCGTGGCCAAGAGCGCTTGTGGCAAACAGCAGAGGAGGCAGAGAGAGGGAAATCATGACATTCTGTGATCTTTTAGAGCGTTTAAAGTTTAGAAACATTGTTTAGAATATTGCAAGAGTATGGGAACAGTGTAAAACACCTTTATATATATATATATATATATATATATATATATATATATATATATATATATATATATACACACATATCAAACGTGCACAAAAATGTTATAGCAAATCACTATATTATAACATTTTTTGTTCATGTTTGATTCCACATCTCAAATATCGCAAACAGTTTTCTGCTTATACAGTTTTCTTTTATTTCCTAACAGCAGCATTGATGTTTCTGAGTTGGTCTCTTTTTATTTACTTTCTTTTGTCTCCCAGCAGCACTTCCTTTCAGGCTCTATATCACTTCCTGCTTCCTTCCTGGTTTATCTGGAACATGTTTGCACACTTCCTATTCCAATCACAAAGCCATAATTGGACACATTTAGAATATACTTTTTGTTTTCCTTTCAGGTAGAGACTCTGAGACATAATTCTTTGCTATGTTAAAGCACCATCAGCAGATTCTGCCACTTTGAAACCCAGAGACCAGAAGGACTCCTCTGCTGTGATCTGAGGCCGACAAGAGGCCATGGCCCTTCCCCCCCCCCAAATAAAACCCTGCTTGCCAGCTCTGACATACATGGATGATATATTTGGAGATCATTAAAAGGTCCTAAATGAGACCCTGGCGTGAGACTGAGCTCTGACCATCTGGCCCCATTGTGAGCGCCGGAGCTCTGTTCAAACTCAGCCAGACCCGTCGGCACATCTGATTGGATGGAAGCTGTATGTGCTTGAAAATGTCAGCCAGAGACTGTTTTAGTCAATTACTGAAACCTGTTTCAGTCTTCATTTCTCTGGGTAAATGAAGCATCTTCCTCTACGCTGCTCAAACTCTGGACATGACTGTTGTCACGTTAAAGTTGTTCCTCTAACGTTCTAATGAAATCTGATGAGCAGTGGCACTTTTACAGTCTGCTTCATAGACGTGCATGTTTTTATTGCACTAAAGCAAAAAGTGCTTTTGTGGAAGACAGCACTGCCATTTTCAGTTTCAAACAAAGGAATGAAAAAAAACGTTCAGGATTTTTTGCATTTTCCAACTTATTTAATGTGATTTTTGTAGATGCCTTGACTCTGGCTTTCTTAGTACAGTCAACATGCTGCTCTTGTTGTTATAAGTGTTTGTCAAATTACATTTTTTCATGAAATGAGGGGTTTCACTTGAGCTGTTTTTGTCTGTCTGCATTTTTCAGGTCACAAGCTCAACAAGGATCTGAAGCAGTTCTTGAGCTTGAGGTTTCAGAAGTCATCGCCTGACCACATGTTGCAGAAGACTATCAGAGCCAATCTATATCGTCATGCTGTGCCTTGTGAGTAAAACCATTGGGTTGTACAGCAACATCTCCATGTATGTTGCAGCCCTTGAGCCAAACACAGCACCTTCTCAGACAGAACGTTTGAGCCTGTTTGGGTCACAGTTGGATCTTTGGCTGTGCGACAAAATGTAGCTCTGCTCTGAATTTTCATGTTGTACCTGCTAAATGAAGGCCTGCATCTTTTTATGCCTTGTGATTTCATTTTGGTTGAACGAGGTCAGACAATGTCCTTGTTGCATTTAAGACAGAGTTTTTAGAAAGCTATTGGTGTTAAAAAGTCAAATTGTCAAAAATGGAACTGTTATCGTAAATACTTTTCAAAATTGGTAGCAACTCTCATTTTAGTCTGTGTTTTACTATTTGGCCACCAGGTCATATTTTTTTTCATGTATCAGTACTTTTAGTGTTTTTTAGGTCCATATGTTTGTTTAGTTTACACAATTTAACTTCAGCACCATGATTACTTGTCGTTGCGTCATAGATTATGAGTTACCTTTCCAGTTTTTTATGCCTCGGCAGTTGAAACTTGATTCAAGGATTTAAAGATTCAAGGTTCTTTGTCATTCACACCACATGTGGTACATGTGGTGGAACCAAATTGTGTACGCAGGGTCCCAGTTACATCCAACAAAAGTATAAAATGTAAAAGAAAAACGGTAATAATATCTAAGATATGAACTAAGAAAAACGTTAACTAAGAATACACTAAGCACTATTAGCTTAAAAACAATACGCCAAACAGCAGCACGAACGTGAGTCTGTGTGAGTACGAATGAACACAGCAACATGAAACAGATCAGCAGCAACATGAAACAGATCAGCAGCAACATGATGTGATTATTCTGGTTAGAGATTCATGAGTCTAACAGCCTCAGGGTAGAAGCTGTTCCTCAGTCTAGTGGTTCTACACTTAATGCTCCTCAACCTTCTTCCTGAGGGGAGCGGGGCAAAAAGTGTGTGTGCTGGGTGAGTGGGGTCCTTCATGATGCAGGTGGCTCTCTTCCTGCATCTGGAGGTGTAGATGTCTGTGATGGTGGAGAGGCTGACTCCAACAGACTTCTGCGCAGCCTCCATGCCACACGTTGATGCTGGAGCAGAGGATGCTCTCCACTGCACACTTGTTGATGCATCTCAGTGGCGATCAAATGATTGTATGGCTGTGCGACAGTATTTTTGGGAAAAAGATATTTAGCTGAAATAATCTGAACTTCCACTTTCAGTCTTTTTAAATAAAGTATACAGAGTAATTTAGATGGACTTGCGACCTGTCCAGGGTGTACCCCGCCCCTCGCACAGTGATTGCTGGACATGGGCACCAGCTACCCCCGTGACCCAAAATGGAATAAACGGGTAAAGATAATGGATGGATGGATAGATACAGAGTAATTTAGTCGTTACAGAGTATATACAGGGCTCTTTGAAATCCTTGTCAGTGTACATAATGTTCTGAAGTGTAGGTCAAGTTTATTTTTCACTAAGCCATAACTCTGGCCTGTAGTGATTTATAGTACTAAGTGGTTGGTTAGCTAGACATTTTCTTCTGATCCTGACTTTCTGATTATAAGTAATGTGATAATGTTGAAGGACAACAGGTCTATTTTCCCTTACAAGGCCCTACTTATTGAGCACTTTGTATCTGTGTTGGACACGTAGATCAAAAAGATGCACAGACATACTCTTTTCTCCTTAACAACATAAATGCACTGTTGAGAAGCTTTCCTCACTAAGCCTTTTACCTCATCTTTAGTTTGGCTGTAAAATTTAACTGAAGCTGTTTCTGTAAAGCAAAGTTTGTGATGAGCGCTCACACATTGGTTTTAACAGCTGAAAGACAACTGAACTGAGACTGTTTATAAGTGAAAAAGTCAATCGATCAAGTTCAAGATTCTTTATTATCATTCGCATCACATGTGGTCCAGGAGGTGGAATGAAATTGTCTATTCAGCAAAAATATTAAGTTTAAAAAAGAACCAGTATACAAGGATCTAAGATATAAGCTAAACGATAATAATATAAAATAATATGGTGTATTAAACAGCAGCCTGAACATGAGTCTGTTGTGAGCAGATGGGTATGAATACAGCAGCTTAAAGGCAAGAAATCAGCAGCATGGATAATCAGCAGCACAGATAAAGTTACATATCACCAATTAAAGTGGCATTACAGTGATTTTTCTGGTTAAAGATTCATGAGTCTAACAGCCTCAGGGTAGAAGCTGTTCCTCAGTCTATTGGTTCTACACTTAATGCTCTTCAACCTCCTGCCTGAGGGGAGCGGGACAAAAAGTGTGTGTGCTGGGTGAGTGGGGTCCTTCATGATACATGTGGCCCTCTCCCTGAATCACTGGCTATGAATGTATCTTAGATGAAAAATGGTGTTAACAGGTTTTTATCTTGGATTCATTAGAGTCTGCTTCTGCTCTGTAAAGCTACAGATGCTACGTCAGAATGAAAACAACTTTTTTTTTTAATAGTTAGTTTAGCTGCATTATCAAGTAGTCAGTTTATGCAGTGTTTACTTAACCTGAGGCATGTCTACATGTCTACATGTACAATTTCCAAACACGGTGTGCATATTTTAAATCCCTCTCTGCTAAACTACAAGTTTCAAACTTTTCTTCTTTGGTCTGTTATTGCAGTTGAATGCTTGTGCTACATGTTATACATATTATTCCAATGTTACAGTTTTGTGAAGGCTGCAAACTCTACTGTGTAGAAAGGAGAAACGTCTGCATGCTTGTTGCTTTAAGTGATTCTAAAAGGCAGCACATAATGACCTTTTAACAATGTGGATTTAAGTGTGTTTCCACCACTGAGAAGGGTTCTTTGACATGATTTCACCATCTAAATAAACCGATCCACATTTATGTCAACCACCACCTCCACCTGCTTTTGTGGAACAGGATTTGCTTGTGGGCTTGCATGTGTTTACAATGGACAGCCTCTTAAGGGAACGTAACTTGTAGACAAATAAATCACGGTTGCAGGTGAACGGACACAGAATGCACACTGACGCGAGAAGTTTTAAAAGGTAAACTTATTTTACTAACAAACAAACAATGCTGATGTGGCAGCGAGCTTACAGATCTCAGAAGGAAAACACAATGGAAGAACCAGGATTGTGGCAGATGATCAACAATGCAGAGCTGATGACTGAATAAATACAGCAGTGGAAAATGGAAAGTGGAGGCACCTGCGTCATCACCAAGTGGGGGCAGCTGTGAGTGAGAGACTCAGTATAGAAACACTGAGAAGGTAGACTAAGAGTGAAGGAGAAAAGGCACAAAGAACTAAACAGGACTTACCACAGAGAATACACACTAATCTCCAAAAACAACCCTGACAATAAAGTGCTAAAACACAGACTGGACAAGATCTACAGTGAGAGAAGAAACAACTGAAATGAGGTAATTTAAGAATAATTATATAAACACAAGAATCCCAAGACAAAAAAACAAAACTAAGAATCACCTGATCTCAAACACAAATATGACTAAATGTATTTCCCTCTAGTTTCTCTCCTGATTTAGGCTTTTCCACTCTCAATCTCTGTGCCTATTTTGTGCTCAGCCATGTGACCATTAAATCCGCCTTTCTGAGCATCCCTCGGATGCCCTGCTCGGGATTATGATCTGATATATTGAAAATAGATTCCTGCCTGATTATGTGATAAACAGTTCAGTCAAAGGTTACAACGTGATGGAGATGTTTTCGCACGCAGAGGACAAACTGGTCATGCTAACATTAAAATAAAACAGAAACAAAAGGTGCAGAGGTTTGTCAGATGGACATACAGACAGATTGATCAAAACCAACAGAGCAGAAGGTGTTTCCAAAATGAAAGGGAAATGAAATGAAGAAAATGCTAACGTGGACATTGCTTAAGTTTCAACCAAGAAGAATCCATCCAGATGACCTGACTTAAGTTTTTTGGATTTATTTATCTGGATGACTGAGCTTACATTAGGACATTTTGAAACACTTTGGCCAGGTCTGCCTCAGGTTAGTGCTGTGAATAGCAGGCAGCCATCAGGGCACTAATGATCGATTGTTTGTTTCCTGAATCATGCTCAATAATCCAGGTAGAAAAAAATCCAACAAAGTTAAGTCAGGTCCTCTGGACAATTTCTTTTTGTGGAGATATTTCATCTTTCATCCAAAGACTTCATCAGTCCAAGGACCCACACCTTCACATACTGGGTCAACCAGTTTGATGTCTGATGAAGTCTTTTGGATGAAAGACGAAAGGTTTCAACACAAACCATCCAGAGGACCTGACCTAACTTTGTTGGATTTGCTACCTGGATTATTGAGCATGAATCAGGATATTTTGACCCACTGTGGCCATGAATGCCTCAAACGAGTTGGCGGGGAGAGGGCAGACTCCAGAAACCACCTGAGCACCATCAAACTGGTTGATCCACTATGTGAATGTACTATTTATAAGACTGAGTTTGTTGTGGCTCCTTGGACTGATGAAGTATTTCAGATGAAAGATGAAATGTTTCAACCAAGAAGAATCCATCCAGATGACCTGACTTAACTTGTTTGCATTACAAATCTTTCATCTAACTTTTTATACATTTGTACCATCCAGGATACAGAATTCATGTACAGGGTACACCCATCTTCATTTTACAGTCTAACTTGAAAAGATTTGACACAAATATTTTCCTATAGCATTTATATGACAGCTCATTTTCAGTAACAGCTAATGTAATAAAAATATTTTGTAATAAAGCTTGTAACACCCAAAAGATACAGAGACAAAATAGGTAGTTATTTTTCACTTTGCTTATTGGTAACTATTGACGATCATTTTTGTAAAATATTGAATTTTAACAAACCATTAATGGCCGATGAATGTTTTGATTTTCTTTTCGCATGACTGATTTAGAGACTTTAAAATCTCTAAATAGAACTTAGTTAAGCAGTCACAGAGATATCTTTGTTCTGATGGAAAAACTCCAGACTATTATGGCAAACTTAGACAAT